AAATCTTCACTATAGCCTTATAGTGAAGTTGAGATCTAAGACATAGAGTTCGTTATAACAAGAGTTGACTGTATATTTAATTAGATATAAAAGACTATTTTTTAATATTTATTATTCATTTTAATATAAGTTTTAATATTATTAGAATTAATATTTTGATTTCAAATTATATTTTTTTAAATAAGAATTTGAAAATTTTGATTGATGACTAAAAGATTTAATAATATATTAATATAATATAAACTTTTTTATCTTAAATTGTTGATCAAAAATATTTTTTAATTTTTCACAACTAGGTGTTTTTACCTAAAATACCATAAACATTATCAATTTATTTTTGTTAACTAATTCTTGTAAAAGTATCCATCATAACACAAATAAGTATATACTATTTGATAAAATATACTTCATTTTTGATATGTAATTAGCTGCTCATAATAAATAGCAATTTGAGTTAAAATTTAAGTTCAATCATATGTTTTTATTATTGTATTTACTTTATCATATTATTATATTTGTTAGAATTGATAAATTTAAAGAGTTTTGATAATTTTTCTTCAAAATTTTCTATAAGAAATTTTCTAATCATATTTGAATTTATCAATCTTTTCAAATTAAATAATAGCTTTCTCATTAAAATAATAAATATAATATAAAATCACGTGAAAATACAAAAATGATTATCTAAAATGCTAATTGTGTTGATCAATGATAGTTAATATTTAATATAATTATTTAATTTTAAATTAAAATATTTTTTGATATGTTGAAAGAAAAATATATCATAAATTAAAGTTCTGAACGGTTCAGTTTAGTCTGAATTAGATGCCAATCTATATCTAAATCAAAAATTTCAGTTCGGTTCAGTTCAGATTATTAATCTTAAAAATGTCAATTCAAATTCGAATTGAACTACAAACTGGTAAAAATCTGAACTGAACTAGAATTTTCAGATTAATCCAAAATTATAGTTTGATTATATGCAAATCTCAAAGGAATCTGCTAGATTAATGATAAATACTGAAAAAGAGATGGATATGTTAATTTTAGCTAAAAAAAAATTTGCAAAAGTAATTTATCAAATGGAAAATACTATACTTTTATCATCTTCAGAAGTGAAATTTTCTTCTCCATATATTTTAATGCATTTAAGAAATAAAGAAATAGAGATATGTTTTCATATAAATAAAGATGATACATTTAAGTCATTTGTTATAAAAGATGCTTTAGATTTAGCTAATAACTTCTCAAATAGGACAACTTTCACGAAAAATTCTACTGGAAAATATCATACTTATGTAGCAATTACTAAGTCAAATCAAGTTTTACAAGATTTTTGATTAGGACTTACATATCTCATGATAAATAATAATTCATTGAATTGTGTATTCAAAAGTCAGGTATTATCATATTTATTTACAAGGTTTTGGTCACCAACTTTGATATCACTATATTATAATTATAAAATAATCACAATAAAATATTATAATAAGAATTGTGATCACCTTGATAGATACCTTAGAGAAATTATTAATCTATTATATAGATCAAGCTCATAAAATTTGTGAAGATGCATCATGCGATCTTCTTAGACTTAATCATATTAGCATATATACTCACAATATAGGGAAGATCAGTATAATAATTGAAGAATTATTAGATCTTAAATTAAAACCCTTATCTGATAGCATTTTAATATAAACACAATGCAGTCTGATGTTATATTAAATTTAGAAATTAAATCTAGAATATTCTACAGTTACGTCTCAAAATTTGATTGATCATTATATAAAAAAATTGTAAAAATTTGCAACTTTTATAAAAAATTTAAAAGATCATTTTTACAAAAAATAACTATTAGAATATATTCTTCTAAATATATAATCTTGTAATCCACAAGGATCCATAAAGGTCTATAAAGCAGTTTTTTTTTATTATAATCTAAAATTTTGTTTTTTTTATAATATTTTATATATACTGTATATGCTAATTAGTAATAACAAGTTCAAGTTTAAAAGCCAAAAATTTATCTTATTTATTCAATTTTCTTGTTAATAAATATCTGAATAGTCAATTACTACAATGTGAGATTAAAGAAAATTAGAGGTAATAGTATACATCAGGTAATATAGTAATGGATAAAATAAAAGTTATAGTTAAATATTTTTTAGAATAATCTTTATTGTTTGGTTCTTTAAAAATTATTCTATATGTGAAAAACATTACAATCAAATTATTACTAAAAATTTTTTATTAAGTAATTAGAAACAAATAATCAGATTTTTTTACTTTCTAAAGAAGAAAATAAAGAAAATAAAAGAAGGAGATTAAGATTTTCTAATAATAAAGAAAAATTTTGTGATTTTGGAATTCAAGTGTCTTTATCAGATCCAGAATATAAAAATCTTTTAAAAAAAGTAGAAGAGTTAAAATATTTTAATAAACAATTATTATCCGAAAATAAGAAGTTAAAATATTCTAATAAACAATTATTATCTGAAAATAAGAAATTAAAATATTTTAATATACAATTATTATCTGAAAATAAAATATTAAAAAATATTTAAATACCAGATTTGTTAACCAAGAAGATAGTATTAAAGCTATAATAGATATTACTAAAAAATAATGAGAAAATTTATATAATGATATAATAAGTTTAATAAAGAATTATGAAAGATTTCAATTAAATAATTTCTTAGAGTATTCTCCTTCCCAATGACTTATTAAACAAAATTCAGTTATCATAAAATTTATAGAAATTATTACTTATAATGAAAATAAAAATCATCATGAAGGTAAAAAGCTATTCAAATGTGTATAGCAGTTGATATGATTTATGAAATAAGATACCTAAAATATATATCTACTATCAATTTAGTAGTATTGGCAATTAAGTATTCTCTTGCAAGTTCTAAATTAATCATTGATATTGATAACCATTTTATAAATGCTGAAGGTTACACTAAATTTATTAAATAGTAAGAAAATTTAGCCAATGAATCTCAATCATTTCTAAAGGGTTTAGTGTTTATGGCATTTGATAATAAACAAAAAGATAAAAAAAATTATTTAGATTGTGGTTATAATACAGTTATTTATTATACTATTATAAGTTTTGTTTTATTTAATTATAAATCCTATTAATCAAATACAAAATCTTGAAGACCTTTGGCTGCATAAAAACCCTTTTAATACATTGAAAATTGAAGAATTTTTTAATCTCACCCCTAAAATTCAAACATTAATTGATTAAGAACTTTATGATTATTTCTCTATTATCTTAACTGAAGTATGTACAGAAAAAGATAAAAGTATAAATGTTATTAATAATTTAATAGTCAATCAGAATAAAATAAATCAAAAATAGTATCAGGAATGTGGTAAAAATGATATTGAAAATTCAAGATGTAAATTTCTTCAATGTAAAATAAAACTTTTTACGCTTGCTAAAACTCAAGAAGTAATCAATCAAACAGTATCTGAAAAAAAGAACACAATCAAACCTTTAATTTTTTAATCCTATCAATCTGAAATAAATACTTCTGAAAAGCCTACAAATTCAATTAATCTAATTAGTATAACCTAAAGATCTAATCAAAAAAACATTAATATACCTGATATGTTTATTCCAGATTCTTTATTGGTAAATCCAAACTCAATTAAAAATGTTTAAAAAGTTCTAGAATATATTAAAGAAATCAGTGAGATTAATAAAGGTGAATGAAAATGGATTGTGGTAGTTTGTGATGGAATTCCTTACTATTATATACAAAAATTTAAGAACAATTATCTAGAAATTCTTTTAATACCCAGTCCGCTTCATGAGGAGATGAATATATTGAAATTCTTTGTGAAATTGAATTGGTAAGTTATAGTTAGTTCTAAAGTTTCAAATTGTTTTAAATTAATATAATCTTATAATTTCTTAAGGCCATTGATCTGCGATATTTTGTACAATGTCAAGGATACAAAACTGAAAATCAATTAGGATATTTTAAAAAATGTGCTGATCATCATAAAGCATGGGATTCAGTTTGTAATATTTATCAGCATACGATGGTCATAGAATTAGTTTAGCGTTATGTTATCTTTAATATTAAACTATTGACAGATATCTTAATTAGGCTAAAAATCAGGAAAATAAATTATATAAATTAAAATATGAACAAGTATATCAACATAATTATAAATCTTACATTAATTAATTAATACATAATTTAATTTTTTAGATCTTTTTATATTTACAAGCTATAATAAACTTTTGCACTAGAGTAAAATCTAATTAACCTTTACTTAAATCAACTGTACATAGAGTATTTACTCCTATTTGTTCTAGAAGACAACATCCTATTTACCAAGAAATTGAAATAGCCGATAAAGAATAACTACTATGCCTTTATCCTAAAATTTGACTATTTATCAAACTAAATTCAGTTATATCATGATCAGGATGACCAAATTAGCATTAAGGATTAGATGCTGTACTTGAAGAAGTCAATAAAATGCTAAAGACACTTATCCTACCTATACTAACTCAAAATATTGGGAAATTGCAGTAAGAAATTGTGTAAAATTTATGAAGATAAAAAAAAGAATATAATTGATACTAATTAATTATAGTACTTATCTTTTTGTTCTTATTCTTGATGATAGTTACAGAAGTAATTAGATACGCAGATGCTGAAAATGCTGGTCTACAAACATGCTCAGATTATGAAATAGAATCATGACAGTTTATGTTTATTTAAGAAAAACTGATTTCTTAAATAATTATTGTTTTGAAAGTTTAGATAAACATAACAAACTAAATGAAAAAATAAAATCATTTAGTATTATAGCATAAGCTTAACATATAAATTATATTAAAGAAAAATTAAGTTTAACAAAATCAAAATTATTAGTTACCTGTCCTATTCCTGTTACTATTAATGAAGTACAAATAAAATTGATAGAAGGTTCAATAAAAAGAGAGGAACTTGTATTAATAATTGAATCACTAATCAGATCTTTAAATAAGACTAATTTGTCACAGTTTCAGAGGTTAAAATTGAAAAGAAAAGATGAATTATTAGTTATTCTACAAGAAGTTTGAGATTTAACTAATGGTAATAAAATGAAAGTCAGAAATTCTAAACTTTCCTTGAATTATAGAATGACTAAATTCTTTCTATTCATATATCTTTGTAAATTGATTTTGATATTGTATAGGTATTTCAATATTGTGAAAAATTCCTTTTCGTTTATAAGTTTTCTTAAAAATTTTATTATAAATGTTATATTGATGAAATTTCTAGTTTCGTAAAATTCTTAGATGTAAGATTATCATTACAATATTAAATTAGAATTTATATAATTTCAGTTATTTATAGCTAATAAAATTCTGTATTACTGAATGTCAATCAGATTTTCAGAATGTTGATCATTTCTATGTTTGGAAATTCTATATATGGAAAAACACTAGACTGCAATGTGAACTTTATTCTATAAAAACTTCAATTGTACAAATGTCATGTGTGATTTATCTTTATTCATTTAAAAAATATCTTAAAAATCTAATTTATAATGAAGATTTTACCCTAAAACTTTATATTCACATTTTGATTCTTTGGTCAAATATCTTTGCTGAGAAGATTTGATTATGAAAATTGGATATGAATATATTAACTTATTTGAAATATATTTGCTGAAATTGCAAATTAATCAAGAAGAGACTCTGATAATACATACTTTAGGTGAAGCTGAAGAAATTGATAAACTTTTTGTTATTAATAATGAGGATGAGATGAGATTATTTGATGAGACAAAATTGGAAATTATATATTTTTATGATGATGTTAAATAACATATAATAGCATTAGAAGAATGTTTTGACTCTTTGTCTCTTAATGAAATGAACTCTAGTTTCAAGAGAAATATTGTTATCAAAATTAATGGTAATAATATTGATTCTAGTAAAAAGTAAAGTTATTTGAAATTGTTAGATGATATAGCAAAAGAATTTCGTGTTGACGAATTATAATTTTATAATATTCTTAAGAAAACAAAGACTAGTATTTTGAATAATATGCAGAAACTTTTTGTCGAGAAAATTCATAATTTATATGCGAAACTTTAGGAGAATTACAAAAAATCGTGAATTTTTTTTTGAGGTTTGCAAAAAATTATGAAATTTGATGAGTAATCACAAAAATTTGCGATTCTTTAAGATTTTTGCATTTTTTTGTAAAATTTAAAGAAAAATTACAATTTTTACAACTTTTCAAGAATTTTGCAATATTATTTGTGAAATACTAAGAGAAATCGCAAAAATTGTGATTCTCTAGAATTTTTGTGATTT